AGGTTTTTGCAGGACTTTCCAGAATGATGCAGAAGAAACCGTGTACACCACAGGAAACATTGCAGCTGTCACATCAGTGTCAATGCTCTGGCTGCATTCAGACAAAAGACTTCTGCAGTTCAAAAATATTAATTACTCTGCTCCTCTTCCTTCCCTTCTATGCATGGAGACTCACAGTTACAAACTGTCTACTGTTACCTGTGATATATGGATGCAAGCATGCAGATTTAGAATCCCTATTATTCAGGGTGGGGCAAATTGGAGTTAACCTTCCACCAATTTCATTTGTATTTCGTTGGTAACTGGAGTTTCATATTGTGACTCTGCATAAAAATAGAGTGGAGTAGGGAAGCAAGGTGTCCACATGAGCCTGGCAACAAGCTGCATATTTTTTCTTAATCACACTTAAGTATGACATCTGAACATGGACTCTGGGTCCAACCATAGTGAAGCAGGCGATCCAGGCAACACGTTCCGGATGGGGCACCCTCTAACGTGCACTTGGGAAGGTGGCATGGTATAGTTCAGTCTCGTCAGATCTTGGAAGCTAAGCAGGGCTGGTACTTGGATGGGACACCACCAAGAAAGGCTCTGCAGAGGAAGGCTTATGGCAAACCACTTCTGCTTCTCACTTGCCTAGGAAGACCCTTACTGGGATTGCCATAAGTCATTTGCCACTCAGCACTCGCCTGCTCCTTTGGAGGAAAGCGATGGCGAACCTAAACAGCATGATAAAAAGTAGAGACGTCACCCTGCCAACAAAAGTCCGCATGGTCAAAGCAATGGTATTCCCAGTAGTCATGTATGGCTGCGAGAGTTGGACTATAAGGAAGGCCGAGCGCCAAAGAATAGATTCTTTTGAACGATGGTGCTGGAGAAGACTCTTGAGAGTCCCCTGGACTGCAAGAAGATCAAATCAGTCAATCCTAAAAGAAATCAACCCTGACTGTTCCCTGGAAGGCCAGATAATGAAACTGAAGCTCAAATACTTTGGCCACCAAATGAGAAGGGAGCACTCACTGGAGAAGCCCCTGATGCTGGGAAAGATCGAAGGTCAAAGAAGACGGGGACGGCAAAGGATGAGATGGTTAGACAGTGTCATAGATGCAACGAACATGAAATTGATCAAAAGGCAGATGAAGGCAGAAGATAGGAAGGCCTGGCGTGATCTGGTCCATGGGGTCGCGAAGAGTCGGACTCGACTGTGCGACTGAACAACAACAACAACTTTTGTACTTGCATAAGCTGCGTATTGTATGTTCCCTAAATAGATTAATGGTGAAAGGAAGTGCAGCTCTACCAGAAAACAAGGTGAGCAATTTTGTATGGAGTGGGAGGCAATTTAAGGAGTGCTGAATTTTTATACAGTGGTTAGGGTGTTAGACTAGGATCTGGGAGGCCCAGGTCTAATTCCCCACTCTGCCATGGAAGCTCACTAGGTGGCCTTGGGCCAGTCACTCCCACTCTCATCCTAACCTACCTCTTAGGGTTGTTGTTGCAATGGTAAAACATAAGAAAATGATGTGAGCGGCTTTGCATTCTCATTGGGTAGAAAAATGTGTTTTACTCATCTAAAGTAAATAAAAGTAAAGTACATTGCCGCACGACAGGTTGACTTTGTGCACTGAATTGATCCTTTAGTATCAGAGGGGAAAGTAAAAATGCTTCCCAGATGGCTGTCTATGTGCATGCCCATTGCACGCACGTGCCTGCCTCTTGCCACTTACAACACAAACTCAACCCAGAGAATCAAGTCTGTGTGCACCACCATGGCCAGGCAGCTGTTTAGGTGCAGGGGCAGTAGCCACCAAATGCCATCTCAGGTGGATCTCCATGTAAAAAGGTAGCCATCTTGAGATCTTGCTCTTTTTGACCTGAGAAAATATCAAAGGCTTAAAAATGCATCTGCTACTGGGAAAAGATGGAGGCTGGCTACAGAAAAAGCCGCAGTGTATGAGAAAGATCTTGGCTCAAATTTGGCTTCTGTGGAGCCTCTGTTTAAGCAAGCAGGCACAGAAACGTTTATAGCTCTTATGGCTGAGAGGGAGGGAGGGAAGGCAGGATGGTATAGCCTGATGTTGTCAGATTTTAGAAGATCTCGGGGGTTGGTACTCTCAGATGTGAGACTGCCAAGGAAGAATGCAGAGGAAGGCAATGGCAAACTGCCTCTGCTTCTCACTTCCCTTAAAAGCCCCTTACTGGGCCTTCTGTAAGTCAATTGGGACTTGATGTCACTTACACACACACACAAACATATGGCTGCAACAATATGCTGCTCAAATAAATCAGATTTCCTGTGGTCACAGGTGGGGCTCACAATGGCTCACCCCTCCCTTTGATTAGCAAAAGCAGAATGAATTGTGCAAAATGAGACATCCCAGCAAATTGTTTAATGTTCATAGGCTTGCCAACGTCCAGTGGGGGCCTGGAGATCTCACGACTGATTGCACCTGATTTCCAGACTAAAGAGATCAGTTCTCCGGGGGTGGGGAGAGAAAAGGGCTGTTTTGGAAGGTGGACTCTATGGCATTATACCCCATTGAAGTCACTCCGCTCCCTAAAAACCTGCCCTCCCCAGACCATATCCCTAAATCTCCAGGAATTTCCCAGTGAGAAGCTGGCAACCATAAACTAGTTGCCTGTTCTTGACCCTCTTTTCTCTTTGGTCCACAGACCCTGGCTAAGATCCATCTCCTCTGTGCACAGAAAGCAAATTTGGCTGCTCCTTTTGCAGCAGTCAGAAGGCAGGCTGAGTGCAAGCCATGCGATCGAGGGGAGGGGACAGGCTGGCCTGGCCAAACTTTTTTTCTGCACACGCACCCCCGTCCCTCTCTCTCTTTTCCGTCTCTCTCTTCAATGCATAATGATTAATGCTTTTGTTCTTATCCTAAAATCCCTAATCGAACCACATCCACTATCAGATATATTAAAGCAACAAATCATACTTAGGAGAACACAAATCTGCATTTTTAGAAGCAAATTGGCTGGGGAAATTGGCTTGAGACACACACACAGCATCGATTTCCAGATGGAATCTGAACCTGGACTTCAAATTGAGTGTAGCAGCCACTGCATCTCAGATCCTGATTTTTGCAGGGAGTGAAGGAAAATGGGATGCTGGTTGAATATCATCCTTATCAAAACTCCCTGCAAAGGAGATGATATGAAGGAAGGGAGATTCTAGTAAGGAGACTGGAGCTATCAACCACCCCCAAATGTATTTCTTCACCTTATACACAGCCTTTCTCCCCAATGGGGATCCAGAGTGGCTTCCAACATTGTTCTGTCCTCCGTTTTATCCTCACAACAACCCTGTGAGGTAGGTTAGGCTGAGAGTATATGACTGGCCCAAGGTCACCCAGAGAGCTTCCCTGGCAGAGCAGGGATTTGAACCTCTCAGATCCTAGTTGGTACTCTGACCACTACACCAAAACCCCTGTATTCTCTATTTCTGATATTTTTGAAGATTTACTCTTTTCGAAGCAATGCAATTTACTACTAAATGAAGGCAACCCACGTGCCTCCCAAGTGGTCCATCCGAACAATTGATTCCATCAAGGAAGTATGGGAGGGAGGTATGCCTAGAGTGGAGGGCACCTACCTTTCATGGGAGTCCCTTCCGCAGTTTCATTGTCCATTTCAGTATCCAAGTAGAAAGCACTACAGAGAATGGCATCTAGAGATTCTCAGAAAGCAATGGGCTTTTCAAACTCTGGACTAGGGACTGC